TATATATTTGCCAGAGTGAGTATGTGCTTACTAAAAAGAGACAGAGACAGAGAAAGAGCAAAGTGGGAAATCCCCCCACTCCAGGGAGATAGCCACACCACATTCTCATCTCCTCTATTCTCTTTTTTTTTTTAATTATTTTTTAAATTTAACTTTATTTAATTAATTAATTAATTAATTTGACCAGAGAGAGAGAGCGAGAAAGAAAGTGAGAACGCAAGCTACCAGATCCAGGACTTGAACCATGGTCAGCCATGGGGGGAGTCCAGAGCCCGTAACCACCATGCCACCTGCCCACTCCTCCTCCATTCTCTTCTCAGGATTTTGGGCATGCATACACATGTATCTGGGGTGTTTTGCAAGTTACCAGGTCTGGGACTCCAATCCAGCTGCCCTAACCAGCTGGCCCAGTACATCATTTCTTAAAAACAGGTAAAACAAGAAACAGTGCTAGACGCTGGGACAGTAACTACCCTCGCTGGGAATAATGATTGAAAAGCAGCACAGGGGTCTCTGGAGTGCTGGTGATGTTCTTTTTCTCCATCTGGGTACTGGTTACCCAAGTGTATTCACTGCATGATCATTAATGGAGCTGCACACATAATGCACTTTTCTGGGCATGGGTTAGATCTCAGCAAGGAAACAATTAAACCCAGTACCTGAAGTACTAGGAGAACCAGTTTTACCTGAAACATAGAGGCCTTTGAAAACACTTCACATTCAAGTCTTGCAGCAATGCCATTTACAAACTGTGGGATTTGGGGAAGTGAAAGTGTCTATCCATTATGGCTAATATTGCTGAAAGTGATTTATAGATTTTTTTTTTTTTAAGGCTTTTGCCATAAGGTGCATGCAGTCACTGGAGAGAGACAGAGACTGTGAGAGGGAAAGTGAAAACTCACTTGCCAAGGGGGATGGCCATGCCTTAATCCCTTTTCCTCCATTCTCTTCGCAGGATTTTGGGCATGCAGGCACATGTGCCCAGTGTGATTTTCAGGCTGCCAGGTCTGGACTCGTGTTGCAGTTGGTCATGTGGGAACCCAGTGCCTTGACTGCTCTGCCATCTGCCAGTCCCCATTTATAGATTTTTAAAAGCAAAACCACATGAGCCCCTGGAAGGGAGACCTCCAGTCAGTTATAGGGTCTGGTGAAGTATATGCATGAAGCAGAAGTTCTCAGGGAAACTGATGGAGCATTTTGGAAAATGCCTCAGCCATTTTGATTTGGTATAGTCTATTGATATGTTCGGTATATTCTATGCTTTATATTCTGGGTCTTAATATTTTGAAGGAAAAACAAAACTTTCATGTATGGACCCTGCCTTTGATAAATAAACATCAGCATCTCCAGTAGGTGTCCCAAGTATATAGACCACCTTGCTTACCTCTTCCAGAAATCCGAACACCATTATTGATAGCGTTTTTATTTTTGTAAGGCTTCTCCTGACCCACAATCATGCCGGTGAAGGGCGCATACACAGTAGATCCATCAGGGCACAAGACATCTATGCCCTGGTGAGGCCTCTGACTCCTAGGATGGAAATAAAAATGAATAGACCAAGGATCTTCCCGGGGGGGAATGCCGTTTCCCAGGAACGTGACATGAGCCCACTGCTCCGAGACTAGGTACCAAAAATTGGACCTGCCAGAAGATGCTGGGATAACCTAGGGGTTCTTCTTTATTTATCCTAATTCTAACTTCCTTCCCTGCTGGTAGTAATAAATGCATCGCGATGATGAAAGCATTTGAAATAATGTTAGGTCCACAGTAAGCCTTCAACAAGTATTAGCTGTCGTCATAAGGCAGTTGGGGAAAACAAGGCCGTCTGTACAACTAAATGTTACAGGTATCTGAGTCTTGACTCTTTCAAGACCCTCTGAAAAAGTTGTCTTTTTATGGGAACTCCTCATACAAGTATCACAGGGTACCCTAATCTTCTGTTTCTCACAGCAATCAAGGAAGTCTTTGTAAACCTCGTTCACGGTATATGGTGTATTAATAATTCAGTGAGTGGTACCTCCTGGGTTTGTTAAAGTGTGAAGTGGACAAATGCAGAATGAGTCCAGACTGGGAGGTTTCTTGAGTTAGCGTCAACAATTCCTCTGCTCTTGCTGTTCTCTGCTGTCCTGCCGGCAGTCCCCAGCCTGCTCACCCTCGCAGAGGCTCCTGCCGAGTAGCAGAGTCCCTGGGATTGTTGGGAGCATGTGGAAAGCACACTGTGTGGGTCCCACGTGAAGGGAGGACATTACTGTAGCAGTCCAGTGCATAGACTTCAGAGTATGAACTGATGAAGTCTTTTTATTTATTTATTTTTTTGGAGAGATTTTCACTGTAGGGCGCGTGCGCTCGCCAGACAGACAGAGAGAGACATAGAGACAGAAAGCGAGAAATCACCCCCCAGGGGGGATGGTCACGCTGCAATCCCTTCTCCTCCATTCTCCTCTCGGGCTCTTGGGCACGCACGCACACGCGCCAGTTTTAAGCCACCGGGTCCGGGACACGAACCGCGGTCGACTGCGTGGGAGTCCAGCGACATAGCCATTACGCTAACTGCTGGTTCCCATGAAGTCTTTTTTCCACATTTCCGTCCCTTCATCCTGCTAAAGGTATTTGAGGTTGCCTGGTAAGTATCTATGAGAGAGTGTCATCGTAATTAGGGTGGAGTCAGAGATTCAGTTGGACTCATGGCTATTCATCAGAAAGTGGCACTCCAGAGAGGTGCTGTGTGTTTTTGAAGATTCACAAGTGTGTCCCCGTTGTCTGGAGGTGATAAAGAAGCTTTCTTGCCTGCTTACAGTCAGTCTAGTATTCAACCCTTAGAGCCTGGGTCAGTAACGCAGTGGTTTGGTAAATCCTGATTCTGAAGCCAAGTCTCGCCTTTGCCATCTCTGTGCTTGACAGAGCCTTTAACCCTTTGGGACCTCGGTTCAAGTTCCTCATCTGTAAAATGGGACAGTGATTTTCACCTCTGGAGAAGTCAGTGCTCAAAAATATCTAGAGAGAGAAAACACTGTGTATGTTCCCTTCTCTTTTTCTTATTCTGCGCTTTGTCCCCAGTTCAGAGCCAATACTTGAAACAAAGTTTTGGGAAGTTGCTTAAAAGACTGTAGTAACATAACTGGCTGCATCTCTGGGTTTTTATGCTGTCAGATAATTATGAGCCCTTGAGGAAACATAGGAGAGCAACACCAAGAGAAGCAGTGAGGAGTCACTTTGCTCCTTGTGAAATCTCATACCTTGAAGTGGAATATTGCCCACAGCCGTGGCGGTCACACGTCCGGATCTCGTTGGAAGACTTGCCAGCACACATGATGGCCCATGGCCCAGCCAGTGCTAGAAAGGAGGATGTGAGAACGTCAGACAGTCCCAGTCTCCAAGGTCATGTGCCCACTGGAGCCCCAAAATTGTTTTTAACGTCAATTCCCCCTAACTATCTATAGTTTATGGGGTGGTTTTAAAGAATTTTATATTCTGATTCAGATGTAAAATGAACTTTTTCCCTGGCCACAGAATTCTGTCTCACAACATACAGCGTATTTGTGAGTGTGTTTATTTATAACTATTAACCTCTGTCATTTTACTTGGTTTCAGATTATCCACTCATAATGGTGTGAACTGTGCTTTTCAAATTTTGTGGGTTTGGTTCTGTTTGTTTGCTGGCTGCTCATTACCTGACATGGGAACCACTATGTTTAGGCTAAAGCAAAATAATCAAGCAGTATAGCTCAAAGAAAAAACGATATTCTAAAGTAACTTTGAAATGCTGCTTTATGGTTAGTTCTGCTTATCAGATTGGTGCTAAAGTTTGAATGAAAAGAGAAAACAAACTCGGAACTAGCCAAAGTTATTTAACACTGAATAGGCCTTTTTCATATTTGCAAATGTGGAAGAGGGAGATTCTCAGAAATAATCTAAAATACCAGCCAGTTTAGCCGAAAATGAGATGAGAGAAGGAAGGGAAAGGTAGAAGAAACAATTGTGTGAAAAGTGAGAAAGCTATAAAACATGGACTGGCTCTCTCAGGGTATTTTGTGTCAATTTTAAGTGCAATTCGTTCCATTAATGTAATAAGCACTTGGTAAATGGCTAATCCAAGTAAATTTCCTGAATTTCCAATGTTAACATCATAGAGAGATACAGTAAGCAAATTCATCCTTTCACTTCAAAACAAACTAGCAAAAATGAGAACCTGTTCATTTGATTATTTACTTCATTTAAAGACATTTCACTATTCACTAATATGTTGGCTATGAAGAAAAGCTCCAGGAGGTAACCTTTAAGCATATTCTATAACTGACTTTTCAAAGGTGAGTTTCAAACGTCTTGGAGCCAAGTTTCAAGTTATCACCTTCATCCAGTTATATCATCATTTGGCAGTTAATATTTATCCTTGGGAATTGAGGCATATGTTAGACAACTTATTCATTTATTCATTTTTCTTTCCTGCTACTACTAATTAAGAGAACATTCCCTTCATCTAATCCATACCAGACTCTGTATCAGGAATTTCCTAAATCAAATCCTTACACAAATTTTTATTTTCTAGTTTTGTTCCAATTAAGCCTAAGACCAAGATTGGAAAGTTTATTTTAAAAATCTTCCTATTTCACTTTTATGTTTCTTTCATTAAAGAATGAAAACATTTAGATAGAAATTATTGAGAAACCTTCCTTCCCACCACATATTCTTCTCATTCCACTTTTAATCATCTAATACACGTGTTTCTGTTGTGAATATGCTATAAGTGACTTTTTAATCTGCCCCTAAAACCCATTTATAAAAATTAGCCAAGATTCTAAAATTGTACTTTTGACTTACCAGTGGAAATAAAAGCAGCCAAAAGCAGGACTCTTGTGGAAAACATCTGGGTTTTGCTTCCCGTATGGTTCTTCCTCTAATTAGGATTGCTCCCACACTCTCTTTGAAGAATATTGAAGTTTGAATGAAAATGTTCTGACTAGTTAGCCTCAGAACTCTGCATCTCTCATTTCTTTAATTCGATGTGAGTCACACAAAAAATAAGCTCATGGAGCAAGTCAAATTTTAATATTCCATGGATAGCTGTTTGCTTCACATGAAGGACCTGTGTAAAAGCCTTTGATCTGAAGAAGCCAATCTTATTGGAAACACTGACTAAATATTAACAGGAAATGGTAAGGCTAGGTGCTGATTGATGGTCTTCAGTCTGTGCCTGATAGGAGAATATTCATGTGACTAATGGAATACTTAGCACTATCTGATAGATCTTTCATTTCCTGGATAGCTTGTATTTCAGAAGAGACATTGTCATCAGGAATGTATGACCCTTTGATTTTTTTCATAAGTCTAAGGGTTTTTTGGACTTATCAGTTCAGTTATATTTCATCTGTATAATATTTGCAAATAACTGTGATATATTGATAAAATTATATTTATTTTCATTAAACAAGTGATTTTAAATACACGCTTATTTATAATAATGAAAACTCAGCAATATCCAAAGTATTCATCAATAGGGGGAATATAGGTGACCTGTGATACAGTCACACAACAGAGTTGTGGCAATTTAAATGAAGACAACCTGTATATTTTTGTAGTTAGGTCTCTAAATAGACTGTTGAATGAAAAAGATCCTGTTGGGGGCCAGCAGGTGATGTAATGGTAAAGGCGCTGGTCTCCCACATGGTCTACTGCAGTTTGAGTCCCAGACCCGGCGACATAATACACACACAAGGTGCAAGTGCGTGAATGCCCAAAATCCCAAGAGGGGAATAGAGGAAAAGGGGGTGCAGCGTGGCCATAGTCCCTGGTGGGGTGATTTCTCACTCTCTGTCTCTCTGTCTCCCTCTGGCCAGTGCACATGTCCTATGGCAAAAATCTTTCAAAGACAAAAAAAGATACAAGATACTGTTAGAATACTATACACAGCATTATGTAATTTATATAAATTTTGCAAGCAAAAAAGTGTATGAATGTTCATAAATAGCTGCATACATAGTAAAAATACAGAATTATACAGCCTAACTTTAGCATAGTAGTTTCCCCTGAGAAGAGAGAGAAATTAGAACTGTGAAGTAACACACAGAGTACTTAAACTCTAAAATATCTTACTTCTTTCTTTCTTTATTTTTTTTTTAGATAGAGTTTTTGCTATAGGGTGCATGTGCTCTCCAGAGAGACAGAAAGCAAGAAATCACTCCACAGGGAGGATGAGCATGCCGCAATCCCTTCTCCTCCATTCTCCTCTTGGGATCTTGGGCATGCATGCACATGTGAGTTTTTAAGCTTCCAGGTCCAAGACTTGAACCATGGTAACCCACGCAGGAGTTCAGTGACGTAACCATTATGCCATTTGCTGGTCCCAAATATCTTATTTCTAAAATGGAAAGGATCAGAAGCAAATACGTAAATATATTCACTTCTTAATCATTAGAGATAAATATTATATACTATTATATATAAGTATATATCATATTACATTTTTATATGCTTAGATTTGCTTCTGATATATGCATATTAGCAGCTTTTTTTATACTATGTATTAGATCAGGACCTGGAATTTTTTATGGGAACCTCCTCCTTTAAATGGTTTGCTGGTAGCTGTGGAAGACTGAGATCGTGGCCCCACTGTTCACCCTCTCTGCAGCCACACTTTTGCCATGTCTCAGGAGGGTGGAGGTGATTTTTCCCAACCCTGACTTCTTGGTTCAGCTCTGTGGATTTAACGGATGAACTGAGGCAGAGATGGCGGTGTGCTGAGAGCCTGAGGCCTTTGTCCTCACATTCACCTTCCGTGCTCTGCCCTTGCCAGGAGAAGGGCATTCCCAGGCTAGCCTGCTGTGCTAGGAAAAGAATGAAAGTCACATGCAGCAGTCGCCCCAGCTGAACCCAGCCGAGCACACCCTGGAGAGGTGTGAATAATAACTGGTTAACATTCAAAGCCCCTGAGTTTTGGAGTGGTGTGTTACATCACAGTAACTAAACTATGCCAGTTAGACCGTACACCACTTTTTACTTCACACAATCTTTCATGGAAGCACCTGATGCATAAAATGCAGAAGGCCAATGCATTGCATATATTGCAAAATTGTGTAGATATATTGGAAAAAGAATAGATGACTGGGGAGAAAGGGGGGAGACTTAGAAATAGACACACATGATAATAAAGTACCACTTGAGACCAGCAGAGAAAAGATAAGTCATCCTGCAGATAGTAAGGTGACAGTGTCTGGCAAGAAATGACTGCTCAATCCACACTTCAGTGTGAGCCAAACATTTGCATGCAAGAAAAAGAAGGAAGGGAGAAAAGAAAAAATAAAATGAAATCATAAAAATACTACTGGGTTGTAAGAAAAGTCATGATGTATTTTTTCTATGTTTTTCCAAGCAAAAATGCATCATGACTTTTTTGACAACCCAATAGAAGTAATTATGATTTTTTTGAAAGGTTTTTGCTATAGGGCGTGTGTGCTCACCAGAAAGACAGAGAGACAGACAGAAAGCAAGAAATCATCCCCTGGGGGGGTTGGCCATGCCGCAATCCCTTGTCCTCCATTCTCCTCTTGGGATCTTGGGCACGCATGCAAACACATCTGGCATGAGTTTAACCCACCAGGTCCAGGACTCGAACCATGGTCAACTACATGGGAGTCCAGCAACACAGCCGTTATGCCGACTACTGGTGCCCATTGAATGTGTTTCTTAGAAGGCCTTTCAAAGAATGTCCAAAAAAAAGAAAAAAAAATCCCTCAGGGACTATAAATGAATCATTTGCTAACGTGGGAAAACTATCTGTAAGACATATGACATAATTGAATAAGGGCTCATTTCTTTAACATACAGAGCATTCTTAAAAAGTAAAATATGCAAACAAATGGATAGAAAAATGGGCAGAAGATACCAGTAGCCTTTTACAAAAGAAGTAACGCAAGTTACCAATAAACATTTGCAAGTATGCTGTACTTCACTGAGAATTAACGATTGTAACAAATAAGGTACAGGTTTTCACCTATCAAATTGGAAAAGAAAGGGTACGTGGAATCAGGCACATGTGTTGAACATAGACTTTGGTTTACCCTTTGCAGAGGCAATTTGACAACACCCCTCACATTTTTAGATTCACAGAATCTTTAACCCCCACAGTTCCATTACTTTTTGAACATATACTTCGGTTTACCCTGTGCAGAGGCAATTTGACAACATGTTTAGATTCACAGAATCTTTGCCCCCACAGTTCCATTACTTTTCTCCCCGCTGCTTGCTGTCCCCGCCTTCAGTATGAGCTGTTTTCAGTCTGTATCTCTGAAGCCTGTGAACTCCTCTAAGCTACCGATGAGATGGCAGAACATAATTTTGAAACCCCTAATGAAATGCGATCTAGGCAAAAGTCATCAATGGGGAAAAGTTGATGGGAATCTTTATCATCAATGGCTCTAACAACACCTAACCAATCTTACCACTTCAAAGGGGAAAGAGAGAACATTTTGTTCCTCCTTAATGAAAGCACTACCTATGAAGTGCTCTTGTTAAAAAATTGAACTCAAGTCTGATAAAGCTGTTAGCTCCAACTCCCAGAATACAGAGTTGTGGAGTGTCAGGAAGCATGTTCAATGACACCACAAGGATGCGATCAACCACATGCAGCCTGGAGGAAGCTCTATCAAATGAAGAACTGGCTTTTTCAACACATCAATTCCAGGAAAAGAAAAAAGAGGAAGGGGCAACCTGTGAATTTAAGAAATGTTTGAGATTTATCAACAAAATGCAACGTATGGTCCCTGTTTGGGATCTGATTCAAATAAACAAATCAGAGCGAGAGAGAGAGAGAGAGAATAGGGAGACATTGGGACCAGCAGATGGTGTAATGGTTACCTTGCTGGACTCCCACATAGTCAACCATGGTTTGAGTCCCGGACCTGGCGGCTTAGAATTCACACCAGACGTGTGTGTGCATGCCCAAAATCCCAAGAGGAGAATGAAGGAGCAGGGAATGTAGAGTGGCCATTCCCCTTGGGGGGGGGTGATTTCTAGCTTTCTGTTTCTCTCTGTCTTTCTGCAAACATATGCTCTGTATAGCAAAGATCTCTCTAAAAGAGAGAGAGAGAGAGAATAGGGAGACATTTAGCACTACCTCTTTTAGCACTATTAGATTATATTAGGAATTATTAATTATAATTTTAAGCATAATACAGTTTAGTTTTTATAAATAATCTTTATCTTGTAGAAATACGTACTGAGGGACCAGCAGGTAGCATGGTGGTTAAGGCTCTGGACTCTCACAAGGCCAACTGCAATTCAAATCCTGGACCTGGAGGCTTGAAAATCATGCCAGGTGCATGTGCATGTGTGCCCAAAATTCCAAGAGGAGAGTGGAGTGAGAAGGGATTGCAGCATAGCCTTCTCTCCTTGGGGGTGATTTCTCACTTTCCCTCTCACTGTCTCTGTCTCTTTCCAACAAGTGCACATGCCCTATGGCAAAATATCCTTTAACAAAAAAAAAAGAAGAAGAAATACATACTGAAACATTTATCTGATAGAAATACATACTGAAATGGAAATCATACGATGTTTCAAATTTATTTCAAAGTAACCCAGGAATCTAGAGAGCAGGAGGATGGAGAATAAGCACAACTGGTCATGTGATTGGTGATTATTGAAACAGGGTAATGGATACGCAGGAGTTCATTGTGCTACTTTCTTTAGTTTGTTTATATTTGAAGTTTTCCCATACCAACAAATTTTTTAAAAAAGTTGTTGGACAACTAACTTGGAAAACAATCTGGCATTATCTTTTGACCATAAAAATTTTCCCACACACCAAGAGAAAGACCACTTTTTCTGTAACCATAGTAATATTGTAACAACCCAGTTTTAAATCCTTTTAACTGCCTAATAACAACCCACCTATGGCCAACCTGCTTTTCAAGCCAATTAATCAGTAAAATCAACCCCCACCCCTGCTTCTGATTTTCAGTCAATCAGAAACAAATCATTCCAAAATGTCACTGCCAACCAACCGATCAACAGCCTCAGGTGAACACCACGTTTCTGCAGATGGCTTTCACCCTGTTGATAATTTCTCTGTCGATTTTTAAGAAGTAGGTACAGTGATTGTTCTAGTTCTATGACTAA